AGAAGCCAATTTATTCTATTCCGCTCAGTTGTGGCAGTCAATACATTGGCCAGACGGGACGATGCCTGAATGTTCGCCTTAGAGAACACTTTCTTGAAACCAACAAGGCGTCATCCGACTCCTACCATCCGATTGTTGTCCACGCTCGCACCTGCCAAGATTGCTCTCCTAGGTATGCAAACACTACTGTGCTAGGCTCACACAACGACAAGTATGGGCGAGAGATCATCGAAGCCTTTAAGATCAAAACTTCCACAGACAATGTTTCTGAGCCCTCACTATCGTTATCGACAGCAGAGATGGATTTCCTAGCGCCGGAATTGTCATAGAAAACATCTCCCGTTTCTTTTCTTCTTCCTTTTCAGGAAGTTAAATTTCCGCCATCTTTACCTTTTTCTTTATCTTTTTCTAGTACCTTCTAGTATTTTCGTCTTCAATTAATTTTCTTCATATCCTAGGTGGTTCATCATAGTGTAATGGGCATCATTTAAATGTAGTTGCTCGTTGAAAGAGCTGTGTGTGTCTGTCCCTCGTGTATTTTCTGTGTGTTTTTATTCTTTCAGTGTGAACTGTAACTTGGCTCCTGTACAACGTTTGTTGTACAGAAGGATGTCCCCACAACCTTTAACCGCCATGGATTAAAAACAAGAAATCTTTAGCAGCAGGGTGTGAATAGAGGTGACAGAAAAATATGTGAACCAATCAGTGAGATGAAGCGGTTGAACACCGCGAAAACATTTTTCGTTCAAGCACTGCACTTCCACGAAATTTTAATTCGAAATTGTTTGAAATAACTACCTTCTTTTGAATTAAAGATAATCCTCCCGTGAGTGACAAGACGTGAAGATTTCGATAAAGCTCTGTTCAATATATGAGCTTTATGTGGATCACATATTCAACTGTAGCACCAGATTCCCGTTGATCGTACGCATGAAAACAATCAACACGACGATGAATAATCGCTTTTGCAGCCGCCATCATATACCTCGAGTGCAAAAACAGCTGAGGCACGGCACCCTGGTCATTGGTGGCACGATACTGTGAAAGGACACAAGGCGCCATGCAAAGCGACTCTTCATCCATGGGGCTAAATTTATAAATATATTGTCACGGGTGGTGACCAAAAAACAATAAATAAACAGGAAGAAATAAGCATTTAATGTGGCGAACTTGTGCCAAAAATAAAAGGGTACAAAAGATAATAACAGAGCGTCGCGTAACACCAGAGTCAACCGCTGGGACGAGCTGAATGCATATCGCCACGCGGAGCCCCATGCACACGTGTGGGCTTCTGGAATAATCGGCGCAGAAGGTTCGGCGTGTAGAACATTCTGACCTCGAACGAGCCCCCCAACATGGTTCTCGAATTTACCAGATCATTACTTTGAGACTCAACAAAAATGTGCCTCCGCGGCCAGGAATCGAACCCTGGCTTTCAGCGTGGAGAGAAAGCGCCATAACCGTTAGGCCACGCGCGCGCTGCCTACTTGGCCAGCTGCGCGCGCGGCAATATGCCGCCTAAATAATGAACCTCCAGATTTTTTTTCTAACGTTTGGTTACCGAAATTCTTAAAAATTATTTGCATAATTTTATGAAATAACCCGTCTACAATTAGTACTCCATTCGCCAACTTGCGCCTCTCAACAGAACACAAAAGGCCATTTTACAGCAGATTTAGTTTTGGATTGTATAAACGTACTTATGAATAGCTGATTTCGGCAAATTGCTTATTGGATTATTCTGCACTTCACTAAGTATTATTTTTTATTCAAAGGAACCATGAAACAATTCTGAAATGAAATTTTTACCCCGCACGTCGTAGAAGGTGTGAACTGAAACAAAAAAACAAATAGGGAGCCAAAAGAAAAAAAAATATCTAGGTACATCTAAGCATTCCTTATGAGTTGTGAATGCGAAAGGCATGCAAGCCGCTCGTCCGCTCCCTTTTTTTTGTCTGCTGCGTACTTTTCGTCGCCGGTCGGCGTGTGTGCTCCCCTGGTGACCTTGGACGCTCCGCGCTGATGGACACGCAGCGCCATGGGGTGAGCAGTCGTGTAAACTGACGAGCGCAGCGGCCAATGGGAGCCCCACCGACGCGCTTCAGCCAATGGAACCTAAGGAAACTATCTGCAGTTTTCACGCTTCAGACTGATGACGTCAGCTCGCTCCATGAGACAGTTTATGCTTTCGCGTTAAAGATTTGCTATAGAACTCTTAAAATACAAAACAGTCTTTCATACTTTCTTTCCTTCTAAAGCTCTCTGCTTTATCACTGGGATGCATCCACTGTTCCACAGGACGTCAGCCAAATCCAATTTGCGTATTGGATCAGAGCCTACCAAACCAGCACCACGATCATAAAGGATAAATTGGCGACGAATGTTTTCTAAACGTTTTGTTATAGAATTTTCTGATCCCCATTTTCTTGGATAATTAGCGATGTGACGGAAATTGCCGAATTAGATAATGCTCGGAGCTATGCATCATCTATCATGTGATAAACGAAGCAAGAGAAAGATCAGACTGCGCCTGCGCATAGCCGCCTGTCTGCTGAGAAACATATGGCGTAGGTGGTGATGATCGGCGTGGTCGATCGGCGTGGTGGAAGCTCATATTTTCGCGTAGAGCGCTATCCTTGACTGAATTGTCGTCGCGTGTCTCGATGATAACCTAGCACGTCCTAGAAAAGAAAATGCACTATATACTCTCGCGGCGATATTGGGGCGGCACCCTCAAAACAGCACAACCACTCGTGCAGTCGTCTTTGTTTATTTCGACTACAGTGGTGACTTCTCAGCATTTGTGTCCCACCCGGATTTCTTATTTTGCGCATTCCATGCGTGTGATGAAGTTTAAGATATTACTGGTGCGTACTGTATTTAAAGCGTGTATAAAGAATGCGAATTTCGACGCGTTTTTGTCAGCCGAGAATGTGATTAGTGTTAGCATTCCTTGAACGATAGCAACGTCTATGTGATCACGCAATCATAATTCTAGGTTGCTATATCTCTGCTAAGATGACATTGACTTTTGCAATCGTAGACAAGGCGCGTGGCGAGATTTGTACTGTCAGTAAAGTCATGTTTTAAAGTTGTGATCGCCCAAGACGGCGTACTGCATCTTTTCCTTTTCATTTTTCATCCACTCTACCCTGCGAGCCACACCTGACAAAATAAAAATTTAAAAAGCTTGAGCCCATATAAAACTTTGTGCATTGTTTGCTACGCCAGTGAGTGGCAGCGCGTCCCCTTCTTTTTCGAGATACCGCGGAAACGGCAGACAGCGGCGGAGCAGCGGCTGTCGTGCTGACGATCTGGTGCGCTACCTACCGGTGTATGACACCAGTCTCGTGCTGTCGCTGTAGCGCAACTCGTCTAAATTAATTTCGCTCAGCTGCGGCGTGTCCATGGCTATTGCGGTGATGAGAGGCGACGATTCAGAAAATATGTCGGCGGCACTGGCGCCATCAGCGCAGTAAAACACTGTGGTAAAAACCTCCGGCACACCGCCATCTCGCCGCTAACGTTCCCATTCACCTACTGCCGAGAGTACTTCCGGTGCCGGTGACAGAGCACGTCGCGACAGTCAAAATTACCCCGCGGCTTGTTTCACGGTGAGTTGGAGAGGACGAAAAACTCAATCCTTCAATAATTGTTCCTGTAGAAGTTTATAAACCGAAACAAAAAAGGATGCCTGTTCGGCGTTCAGTGAATATTGAAGGTTTAGTATAAAAGTTATTAAACGAATGTACAAAGGTAATTTCATGGTCCATAGGTTCTATTATCTACCTCAACTAACTATAGTTTCTGACTCCCCAGACTTTACCCTTTCCGGTATGCTCTCTAAGAAAAGAAATTCATAATAGTTATTGTGAAATCGGCAAATGAAAATGATTCCAAAACCACCATACGAATATACCTCTACTTTTCAGGGCTGTGGCGTTAGAGGCGGGCAGGCTTGCCAGTCGAGCAAGTAGTCTGAAGAATAGAATACACCAATGATGTGTTCCGTGCTGCAGCGCGGGAACTGGATCCAGCTTCCAAAGCATTCATTTGACACAATGAAACTGCTTGGAATCAGTTGGGAACGAAATCTACATTCCAAAGAGTTAATCCCTGCATTCCACTGACGTCACTTTTTCGTTGTTGCCAGTAGAGACTTTCAGTTTGAAAACGACCAACACTGTAAATCCAATAACTTCGCGAAAAAAATATTCTGGCTTAATATTTGAAATACTACTTTAGCGATGTTTGTTGGTGAGTTTAGCAAAATTTCAAGCAAAACGGAGACAACAAGAAACCTTTGGAGTACCCCTTTAAGTAACTTTAAGAATTGGTAAGTTTATTCTCTTGCACAAACCAGATACAGCGAATCACGGTGAACGATAAAAAGGACCAAGCCAATGACGATGCAAAGTATGAATGGATATAAAAAATTGGATGTGAGCAGACACAACGAGAAAGTATACATCATGCTAATTGCCCCTTCGAACCTTCCATTATTAAGATGGAATCTACTGTTTCAGTGCATTTTTTTTTGTATCTTGATAGAACACTCTCAGAACAGAATTCTACGTTCATTTTGTACAACCAAGCTGCCCCTGCGGATTTCCAATGCTGTTTTAACGTCGCCGCCAGAACGTACTTTTTGGCAAATGCTAAAATTTAAAAAAAGAGATATATATATATATATATATATATATATATATATATATATATATATATATATATATATATATATATATATGTTTATCAGCAATTCAGCATTTCGTTGAGCGACAGCCTATCATAATTTTCAAGAATTATCTTTCAGAAGCCATCGGCATATATATATAGAGAGAGAAATGTATATAAGAAGTGTTCTGCTGGGGAACATCTACAACGAAAGTTTATTACGACGTTTCGAGCGATCCCCACTCGAAACGTCGTAATAAACTTTGTTGTAGATGTTTTCCAGCAAAACACTTATTTTTTATTCCTGAACTTAGTATGTATCTTACCATTTTGAATTGCGTATACAATCATTACCGTGCCAAATATTATCATCTTCGTTTGGCCTTGCATTGCAGAAAGGAGTCACGGCACACCGAAAATGTTTTCCTGAAAATAGCAGAAATCACGTCAATATACCGTCACATATTAACACTGCCACCTTTGCGCTTTGTATCAGGTCTGACAGGTAATGATTCGTTAGAATGGGGATTGCTATTGTCTATTCATGGTGGAAACTTAACCTACGCGTCCTAAGCATTTCCACATCCTATACTCAGCTCTTTAATTCTACGGCGGCACGAGCTTAAAAAGGCACGACACGCAAGTTCGACCAAGTTTGCGCTATACATGACTTGCGTAAGTAGCGTCATACTGGTGGTAATTCAAACGTGTTCTTGCGAACAAGAACACTTCGGTACTACAAACTGGAAACTGCCAGGCTACCGCAGTACAAGCTGGTGTGACGTAAGTGCGGGCAATAGCAAGACTGCGTTCGTGTTTCAGCTCCGCTCTCACTTATGATGAAATAGAGTTATGGCAGGCTAGCCCATCATAATTTAGCCGCGAGTATATTCTGCATGCTTATGCCGAGAGATACAATGGTCCATGCAACTTGCAAACGCATAAAGAAGATCGGCCAGTGAATAGCTGAGATGCATCAAGAGGATGCTACAAGCCATCGGAGTCACTCTAACACTGAGAGCATATGACTTTTTGATTAGACATTGTGATTTATGAAGCTCGAGGTCAGATGGGGCAAGATGGGCTGGTAAAGGGTTGCTCGCTAATAGCCGGATGCATCGAACTCGTTCACCTCTCGAAAGCGAAAGGAGAGCGCGTGACGGTGAGGCGTGGCGGGTTGCCTGGGCATGCCGCTGCAGAGACTCATTTTTCGCTAAATAGCCGAAGTGCCAATAAGAAAGTTTCGGACGCAGATACACGTGCTGCACACGCTTGCCTTCCTTTCATAAAACGCATGAAGTAAATAGGAAAATTGGGCGTTGACGAACTCACGTACATAAAGTTGCATTCATTTCGATTTTTGCGTTTTAACACTAAGTGATACTTACGCCAGCGCGTGCAGCGGATGTGCCTACGTTCAAGGAGTTCTTATCGACGCTTGAGTAATTCTTCAAAAGTCCTGCTCTCGCAGTTTTCCTGCAATTTGATTTTGGCCAAGGTTTGTGTCAAACAAACGGCGTCTGCCGCGAGCCGTTTACTTGACGCAACTTTCCCTGGCTATGAAGCCAAAGCTATCGGCGGCCGTGCAGTCGCGCAGCTTAAAGATGTACAGGCTCGTTCGTCACTTTCAAAATGCCGCAGAAAATTGTCCCAAATTATAAGACATTCCAGAGAGAGGCTGCTGGCCATAGCCATTTGCAGTGTTCTTGAGTATAGAGAGTGCTTTGATCTATTTTAAAGACATGAACCAGTGCTGAGCTGTGGAGATTGTACGCTGCGCTCTGAACATGTAAGCAATATAAAGATCGCTCATAATGCGCACAAAGCAATCAATGTGTGAAAAGAAGCAAGAGTTATAAAAAGCCAGAAGGAAAGCACTGTTAACATTTTGATAAAAAAATGAAGGTGCGTGCTTCCTTTCTTTCTCGTTCCTTTCCAATGTTTACGATGTATTAGCGCTCGTGAGCACGCGCTCACATATTCTGACACCGTTAAATGTTTACAAAATCACAACCCGAAATCCTCTCTTTCTTGCCAAGCACATGCTTATTCGTTTATTTGAGAAGTGGGAAAAGTACCGGCCATACAGAAGAATACTGAACATTGCATCGGCTAAAAGCCCTTTGTTTCCAAGCAGCTAGGCTGAGAAAATCGCACAGACCGGCGTGCGCATGTTATTATTCAATAATTCGGTAATCATCATTTATTCACGTCTGAAAACCGAATTATCGGCGCAGGATATTAGTACAATGCAATGCCTCGTTTCGTATTCGTTGGACCCAAACTCCGTGCGACGAACAAACGACGAGGTACTCCTCCGTCGCCAGTATATGATGTCGAGGCGTCAGTTGTGTTAGCGACTTCATATGTCATGACATTACGCGCTTGCAACCGACTTCAACAACCAACGCAGAGAGCCATAGTGGACAACCAACATATACAACACAATCAGCAATTCCCATAGAAAAATGGTCTATGGGCGGCTATAGAAAATCCTTTGTATGGCCGGCTATAGGATATCGGCCCAGTTAGCTATAGCCGCTTCTATGGCAGTATATAGGCTTTCCTATGGCCTTCCTTATGGTTGTCCATAACTTTTTCAATGGAAATTTCGCTATCGAATTTTGTATGGTTTAATCTATGGGTCTTTTTAGAATGTACACCATAGCCGCCGATAGCTTTCCTTTTGGTCCCTTTGGCCATGTATAGCTTCTTGTAAGGTCATGTATAGAGGCCTCATATGGCTTACTTTATGAATATTTTTAGACACCGTGCTATAGCTGCCTATGGCTTCTCCTATGGTTTCTTTGGCCGCCTATTGCTTTTTGTATGTTTCGCTATAGCTCATTCTATGGTTCCCTATACCCATCGTGCTACAGCTGCCTATAGCCTTTCCTATGGTACCTTTAGCCGCCTATAGCACCTTGTATGGTCTGGTAAAGAGATCTTTATGGCTTACATTATGAATATTTTTAGCCACCATGCTATAGCAGCCTATGGCTTTTCCTATGGTTTCTTTAGCCACCTATTGCTTTTTGTATGGTCCGTTATAGCCCATTCTAAAGTTAGTCCTATGGTTCTCTCTGCCCGCCGTGCTACAGCTGCCTATAGAATTTCCTTTGGTTCCATCTGGTATGGTGTGCTATAGAAATCTCTATGCCTTACTCGATGGATCTTTCTAGACATTGTGCTATAGCTGCCTACAGCTGTTCCTCTCGTTTTTTTAACCGCCTATTGCTCTTTGTATGGTCGGCTATAGCTCATTCCATAGTTTGTCCTATGATTCTCTATACCCATCATGCTACAGCTGCCTATGGCTTTTCCTATAGTTTCTTTAGCCGCCTATTGCTATCTCTATGGTTTGCTATAGCTTCTTCTATATCTCGTCTTATGAGTCTCTTTACCATCGTGCCATAGCTGCCTGTAGTTTTTCTTTTTACCGCATTCGTGTGAACAGTGAAACAAATTATTTGTTGTCATTAGACATCTTTAAAAAACCTTGTAAAACGTGTCGAACTTAAAAGCCCCATTGAAAACAAAGAGCGAACATTTCAGCAAACCTACAACGACAAACAAATGCACTCACCCACATGTTTGCAAAAGCACAGGTAAACAGACACAACGTATTGTTTTCAAATCTCCTAGAAGTTTATTACAAACAGCCCATTCTGTAGACAAGCACAAACTAAGCAATCTGTACTATGTGAAGAGGTACTACTGAGCTGTTGTACAACTGAGAATATTGCAAAGCAAACAAGAACCAAAAGCAATTCCTGGGTAGTGTCTAGTCTCCCGGCAGCCGGCCGAATCCCCCCCCCCCCCCCCCTTCCCCCCGAACTTCTAATGCCAGTCGCCACTCATTGGCGCTGCAGTCAGTTCATCAAAAGACGTTTCATCGAGATTGTTTCATCAACACGTGATGTTTATAAACAACTCAATATATATATATATATATATATATATATAGTTTTTTTAATGAGTTGCCAAGAAGTGGCGTGACCGGGTGGGCTGAGTTGGTGAGCACGCGCTTCAGGAATACAGGCGCGACGAAATGTCCCTGCAGCGTGCAATTCGCGTAACGAGTGTCGACGAAACGTGTGTCTACAAAACGAGTATCCACGAAAAGGTGTCCATGAAACGTATCTTCACAAAACGCAGAGAGAATAAGAAAGTCAGTATTCTAACTGCAATTTTCACATGATTTCAGACAGCTGATAGCAGGCGATTGAGGAAGAATTACGGGGAAATTATTCTACCAGCTGTAAGACGATAAGCACTGCGAGGAGATAGACACTACAGAACGGTCAATTGTCGCCGAGTAGGTTGCAGCGCACTTACGTGCGCTGCAACCTACTTGAAAGATGTAATCCCAAAATATACGTCGACACGGGCACTGCAGACCAACCACTCGAACACAAAACCGAAAAGTAAGGGATCCGTGGAGATTCGCCACGATGTAGCACAAGCTGTCATTTGCCGAACCGAACACTGAACGCATCACAAGAATGTCTTGGGCTTCTTTGAAGAAATCGCTTGTTGCCGACATACGGGTAGGACTTTTCGATTGAGATACCATTTACCATAGAAGCGAAATCCACAGCAGTTCCGCGGGTCGCACGACACGCGAAACTAGGACCGCAAGCAGCCGGGATTGGCGACGGTTATAGTCGGTTACAAGTTAAGAAGGTAGTAGAAGCCCCTCCCCATAAGCGTGATGCGCCCGCTTCAGACGCCTCCGCAGTCGAGAAGATAGTTCGCTGAAAACGCCCCTTCTACTTCAATGGATGGATATTGACTACAGACAGACCTTGTAGCGGGCGGCAGCTTGCGCCACCTAGCCGAGGCAAATTACTCGCTCCGGAAGGTTGACGTAAAAAGAAGGCTTCAGTGCAACGAAAATTGTAACTTTTATAAGTAATGCATATATGGCTGTTGGTTTTTGCTTGATATCCTTCCTACTCGAATTAGGTACATTCCGTGTATTTTCTGCGTTTGTTAAAAAAAAAAAAACTGCGTTTCGGGTTTTGAAAGTTCCTGCGATTCGCGTTTTAACAATGCCGAAGTCGCCCTTTTCCGTTATGAATCCCAACGTGGAGACAGCGGAATGTGATTCCTCCGATTCTTCTTCGTCAAGAGAGTCTGGTGCAGCCTTGCCGCCTACGCCAAGGCGCCTCTACAAGAAGCATAAGAGCGGCGATGTCCTCAACCGAGCTGCACGGCAGCAGATAATGAACGCGTATGTTCAGGTGCGACACGAACCGCCCGCCAAGCCCGGCCAGCCCGGCCTCACTGTGGAGGAGTCCTGCATCAAAGTCAGCAAGCTGCTTGGCGTTGGTGTACGCACCGTCCTCGAGATTAGGAAGCAGGCGAAAGAAACCGAGGGACAAGTT